AACGCACTTTGGTTTGGCATTTGGTTGAAAGTCATAGTGACGGACAGAGGGGACGGACGGATCGACTGGTGACCTTGACAGTGGGCCAGTTTCAGAGTTCAGCTGGCACTGGGGTTGCTGTGGTGACTAGGGCTGTATTCTGGGATGGTACACAGCAGGCAGTTGGACAGTATCGTGGGGCTGTCTGATCCTGTCTGTCTGATGCTGTCTGTGTGCGCACTTGCTTATACGTTTTCAATAGCTTATTTCACTACCATCAGTCATTAAGGAAATTAGATATTTTTAGTGCACACCATGAAAGGCCGCTGTACGTGTTATGAGATTTGTGTTAACCCCAATGTGTTAAAGGTAAATTTGGCCTGTGAAATGCTGCCCTCATGTGGGTTATTGTGTAAGCATACCCTAAAGTAGTTTGTGTGTGTCTACTTGCAATCCAGGAAAGCAGAACAGATGTTTGGTGAGCTTGAGGTGTGGAGCTGTGTACCAGAGAGAGACAGGCTGGAGATATATGAAGATGTATTGTTCTACCTTGCTAAGAAAGAGAAGGTAAGGTTTTGTTCTCCAGTTCAGACAAAATTCCCTTTAAGTCTTTGAAGTGATTTCACTCTGCATGTTTATCATGGGGTTTGTGAGCACTGACGGTTTCCTCTTCTTCTCCAATTTCCAGGAGCAAGCCAAGCAGCTAAGAAAAAGGAACTGGGAAGCTCTGAAGAACATTTTGGACAACATGGCCAACGTCACGTACCGCACCACCTGGTCTGAGGCCCAGCAGTACCTGCTAGACAACCCTACCTTTGCAGAGGATGAGGAGCTGCAAAGTATGAGAGCAGAAATTGATGTCTTTTGTTTACTTACTTTAGTTGGAAACAGATGGTGGAAGTGTAAAAACAAAGTTTCAACCACACTTCATCCATAATAAACCACAGGTTCACTCGGTTCTATGTGAACGCCTGTAAACTGCTTGATATCTCCTTGTTGATAGTGTTGGTATCTACTCACAGATATGGACAAAGAGGACGCTCTCATTTGTTTTGAGGAGCACATCCGGGCGCTGGAGAAGGAAGAGGAGGAAGAGAAACAGAAGACTCTTCTCAGGGAGAGGAGACGACAACGCAAGAACAGAGAGGCCTTCCAGGTAAGAAGGAATGGAAGGAAACGTGTATCTCCAAACACTTAGAAACTGGAAATCACCTTGACAGTTTGATGTCCTAACTATTTATTAATATTGGGTATCGGTTGCTGTTTCTTAATTCAAACTTTGCTGTTTTTGCTCAGAAATTTCTGGATGAGCTCCACGACCACGGTCAGCTCCACTCCATGTCTGCCTGGATGGAGATGTACCCGACCCTGAGCTCAGACATCCGCTTTGCCAACATGCTGGGCCAGCCGGGTAAGGACAGCAGGCCGCGGCACACGTGGCTTCACACATCCACATGAGCTGAATGCTCTAAAGCACGTGGATGCATGCAGACAACAGCACATGACATGAACACAGAAATAAAGCATACACAGCTCAGGATGTAAATACTGTATGAACCACAACAGAGTACTGTTGCATAAGACTTTTTTTTAACCCTATTCCTTTTTAAATTTGTTTATGTTTATATATTTTTTTACATTTCCCCAAAACATTCTGCACCCAGAGTCCTATATAATTGTTCATTAGTAACAACCTGATGGTTTCTATTGTTTTTTTCTTTGTTGTATAAAACGTATACAACCTAACCTTTTGCATCTTTTGATTGATCCTGTCTTTTCTACAGGTTCCACTCCCCTGGATCTGTTCAAATTTTACGTGGAAGATTTGAAGGCCCGCTACCATGATGAAAAGAGGATCATTAAAGATATTCTTAAGGTAAGATCGTTCACAAACTGTTCACTTTACATCTGCTCATGTCAGTGTTTCCTTCAAGAGGTTTTTATGTTTTCTTATTTCATGTCACATAACTTGTTCATCTTTTGCTTCCCTTCCTATGTGTTCTTGCTGGTGTTGCCAGGACAAAGGCTTTCTGGTGGAGGTCAACACTAGCTTTGATGACTTTGGATCAGTCATCAGCTCGGACAAGAGAGCCACCACACTGGATGCAGGAAACATAAAACTAGCCTTCAACAGTGTAAGACTTTTTCCACTCGCTTTTCACAAATCCCACATAGTACCTTTTCATTGTTTATATTTTTTATGATTAACCCATTTCGCAACATCTTTGTGTAGTTACTGGAGAAGGCTGAAGCCAGAGAGAGAGAGCGAGAGAAGGAGGAGGCCAGGAAGATGAAAAGGAAAGAAGCAGCCTTTAAAAACATGCTGAAGCAGGCCACACCTCCACTGGAGCCAGAGACTACATGGGAGGGGGTATGTGGTTTTACAGCACCAACTATTGTCTGTTTTTTATCCCTCTCCCAGTTATTTAGTTATAATAATTTCTAAATGTAAAAAGTAATAAACAGTAGCTTGTCTTTTCCATTTTGATTAAACGAGTATGTCACTTACATTTTACAATTTTAGGTCAGAGAGAGATTCCTAAAAGAGTCTGCCTTTGAAGACGTGACGCTGGAGTCGGAGAGGAAAAGGATATTCAAAGACTTCATGCATGTCTTGGAGGTAATTAAGTCTGTCATGACAGTGGGAATGGGCTTTATTTTATTGTTGACAAAGATGATGTTTAACATGTGTTTTTGTTTTTTTTTAAACAGCATGAATGCCAACATCACCACTCTAAGACAAAGAAGCACTCGAAGAAGTCCAAGAAGCACCACAGGAAACGATCCCGCTCTCGATCGGTTCGTAGTCTTCACTACTGTGCAAAGACAAGATAATAAACCCTCAGTAATGTACAAGAATACCCTCTTTGCCCATATCCCAATACTCTGTAACATGCCTCATTAATCTCCAAACTACTGTGTTGACAGGGCTCAGAGTCTGAGGATGAGGAATACCACAAGAAGAAGAAGAGGTCACAGTCCAAATCTCCTTCTGAACGCTCATCTAGTGGAGAATCCGGTGAGTGGCTTTCAAAGCTTAGATGATCTGTTTATTATTGTGTGGAAGAAGTGCAGAAATATTGACATTTACTGACATTTTCTGCCTGAAACCAGAGAGAAGCTACAAAAAGTCCAAGAAACACAAGAAGAAAGGCAAAAAGAGACGTCACAAGTCTGTAAGTATACAGGAAGACCCCAAAATCCATTTATTGTTATTTATTTATTGTAATCTAAATGCGCATGTTGTGTTTGTTTGTGCACTGATGGTGATTATGGCAACTAGGCATCGCCAGACTCTGACAATGAGAAGAAAGGAAGAGAGCGCGATGGAAAACGCGAAAAGGACCTAGAGAAAGATAAAGAAAATGACAAGTCTCGGGTGAAATCTCGGTCCGACTCTAAACAGAAGTCTCCGAAGAGAAAAGCGGCGAAAGAGGAGGTTGGTTTTCTGTTTCAGTTGTGGTATGAATAAGTGTATGAATATGCGTTGTCATGGTTAAGGACACAGAGCTGATTTTTTTATTCCCATCAAACTGATTTGTTAATAGCTGTTGTTAAGGTTACCTGCATGTTGAATTTGATGGAAATGTTAATAGTGAAAGTTAACTAATTAAAGTATGTTTTTGAACTGTTACTGATTGAACTTCAACTCTAACATTCAGCAATTAGCCCAGAAAATCAGCTTTCTGACATACTAGAGGGGGTTTTTTGTGTGTGTATTAGCACGGCGGGAGGTTTGTTGCTACCAGCCAAAAGTCCGATCTTTAGATGTGGCTGTTGAGTTGGTCATTTAGAGGTCGGCTTCTGAAAACTCAGTGAGTCACTTTCATCGTTATTAACATTTCTGAGTCTTTGTGTTTTCTGTGTTGTGTTCAGGGCGGCTGGGATACATCAGGCAGTGAGCTGAGTGAAGGAGAGCTGGAGAAAAGGAGAAGAACTTTACTGGAACAGCTGGATGCACCTTGATGATCGCACTTCCGCTGCCCTTATATTGTATTTGTACATTTCTACAAACATGCATTCCCCTCCGAGCTCATCTGACTGTACTGGTCACACCACCCTGGGCGAACTGTGTGAAATAACACCTTTCTCTGGTAATTACGGGAATGTGCTACACTGAGCTTATACACTTACTTGGTTACTAATTTGATATCAGGAAACTGATCAGCTGATCAATCGTTAAATGTCAGATTGTCTTTTTGTTGCTTTGGTTAGCTTTAAGATTTTTTTAGTTGATTGTAGTTGTACATGTGTTTTCCATTGCCAATCATTTTTTTATATTCAATTAAAAGTATATCTTTAATGTCATGGCGACTGAAATAGATTTCAGGACAACTCTTTCATGATGTCTGGACACACCCGGAGATGATGAAAACAATATTTTCGATTTGATCCAACTTAACTGCAGCTGTTCTCGAGGAATGGTCCAAGAAGATTTTAATTGGAGCGTTTGTTAAAATTGACATACTGTAGTGAAATGTAATAAAATACTGTTTCAGTGGATTTTGTCTGTAATTGGATAATTTAGGAGATCAGTAAGGTCAAAGGCAAATGTTATCTTATTTGTTATTTGTATAATTTCTTACATTTATGGAACGGGCATACCTAACCGAACCTTCCAAAGTATCCTCATGCTCATCTATCACATGTAGAAATAAGTCTCACCCAAATGTGTGACAGGTGCACCAGAGGAAGGTGCAGCTTAAACAATGAGGGACTCCTTGCACACTTGTCTCACTTACTGCTGAAAAAAAGGTGTATTTATTCAACTTTTAGCTCTATATGACCTTCATTAAGTATCTGACTTTAATGACGGTCTGGTACCTGATGAAGATCATATAGACTGAAACGACAGTGTGCAGAACTTTAACTGAGAAATGTATTATTTTCTCCATATAATTGTTATTACAATTGATTTATAGGTCCCCAGGAGGTAAGGGTGTTTTTTTCAGATGTAGTCCAGAAAAATTTAATATTACTTTTCCCGACCAGTTAAAAAAAAAAGAAGAAAAGGTAACCCATTCTATATTCAATGTAAATAGTTTATTTGATCATATTCGTTGAAAATCTCATATCACCTACTTTAAAAAAAAAAAAAAAAAAAAGCTTGTTATTTTGTAATAAGCACAAACTGCCTAAAATACATTTCTGGTGAAAGTAACAAAAAAAACATGCCAGTATTATCCAGTTAGAGAAATGTCACTATTACAGACAGTGAAGTTGAGAGAAGAGAGATGATCGGCAGCACGTGCTTCAGTGGAGATAATTACAGGAGGGTGTATCACAAAGCCACAAAACCAGCTAACCACAGGTCAACTAATAGAAACTAGTTTTATTAGACACAATGTGTCTGATTTAAGAGCTTACATCTGTCCAAATGTACCAACATCTGCACAACAGGAACATGTTGCATGTTTTTCATAACTGGCTTTGACGCGCCTGTGACACACCCACAAGCAAATTCAGTGATCTGCTGCCTCCTGACAGTGAGACATTATGATTCAACACACTACTGTAGATTCATTTGGCTTAATTAAATATACAAACATTGAAACAAACTATAAGTTAAAATAACATTCAAGTTGTATAGCACAAGGCAATGAAAACTTTTGTTTAAACAATATGTACAATATTAACCATCTGGTAATGTGAATTAAGTAAAAAAAAAAAAAAAAATAAAGAAAACAAGGTTTGTAGCAAAATATCTGTACATTTAGGATTTTGTTTTTTTGTGTTGTGTACTTGTTTTGCCATGACACACATTTAGATGAAAACATGAGCTTAAAGGAATCCTTTCAGTGGTTAAATACTATACATTAAAATTACAATAAAGTGAGTAGACACAGTAGCCTAGAATATAATTAATCTGTAAAAAAGAAAAGAGTAGACGGATGAAATGCAAAGTTGTGTCCAGTTCTGACAATAAGATCATCCAGTCGGGTTCAGTATCTTTCGTGCAGTTTGGTAGAAAACGCATTCTTTGTTGCTTTACAGGCTTTTATTTGTTCCCAGAAACCAAACAAATTGCTGTGCAGCTACAGATATGTAACATTTTACAAGGACGGTAGATTTTTTTATGTGAGCAGGCAGCCTACTTCTATGAATTAAGAGCTTCAAATTCTGGATTGATCCATTAAGCATTGTAACAACTTATAAAAGAGAAGTCCGCATGGAGACGCCTGATATATACAATTCACATTAGCCCAGTCTCGTGTTGAAATGAATTACTGTTGATGTCTTTTTCGTTCATTCTTCGTCATCCTTATACTCATTTTTAGTATAAATATAGAATTTTAAGGATTTTCTGATCACCTTCTTCGTGCCTGATCATCAGCCCTTTTTAGTCAAAGTTGAAAAGCCTCATGAGATGTACAAAAAAAAAAAGGTGCAGGTTGAAAACAAGTTTGTAAAGTACGAAGAATGAAAAAGAGCACCGGAATGTACCGAGATATTACAGAGAGTCACACTCAACACTAGAAGATGTAATATTTGTAACAGCTAAAGGGAACACGTCCCATACATTCTACATTACGCTTTCCAAGGAAGCCTCTCTCCACCACAAGTCCACTTTTACACTTTCTTTTAAAATTAAAGCCAGGTCACATCGTATTGCTTGAAGTGGGGAATATTTAAAAAAACAGCCATCAGACAAACAGAAGACAGCGTGACATTATCCCTCAAAAATAAGTTCAGGCACTTGGCTCGTCTAAGGTTTTCTGCATCAACCTTTTCAGACACTTTAAATATCAGTCCCACACATGTCCCAGTCCTTCATAGTGAAACACTGCTCCTGTACCACAGACATGGAATAACATGTATTCTTATGTAATATATATACATAGTCATCTCTATGGTTGCTACAACACTTGTCACTCATCCTTCAATCTGCATCAAACCTCCCGTCTCTCCCAATCTTGACGTTACACATCTCCCCCCCCCCCCCCCTCCCAGCACATGCACCGTTCCCTCGTCACATGACCACTTCGCCGTTGTTCACCGGCCGCAGGTTCTGATCATCAAAGCGTCTCCTGACACTCCTCCGCACGGCGTCTGCTCGCCTGTAAGGCTGATTCCTCAAATCTGAGAGGGAAGAAGGGGATTGGATGGGGACGGGGAGTGGGGGTGAATAAAAGAGCTGTCAGTCATCTTGTCAGGGCATTTTGATGAGCCCACATTCTCAGAGTGCTGGCAGCCTGTCTTTCAAAGCAGCGTGAGTTCTACACAGAATAAAAAAGCCTTGCGGGTCAGCTGTCTCTGGGTGTTAAGACTGAGACAGGCCACAGGGTTTTGACTTGTAAGCCTCTGACAGAAATAGAGGGCTTCCATGCATCTTGTTAAAAACCAAGATGCATCTTCCCCATAAAAACTACTGGAAAGAGTTGATATTTTTACCATCAGACATTCAAATTTACTGTTACGAAGGAGATATAATGAGCAGAAAACAGAAGGTGAGGCAGAGGTAGGTCAATGCTGAGTCGACCCTAAGTGAGAAGACAGTAAAACAGCAAGGGAGGTAATAAAGAGATGCTTGCCAGGTTTGGGACACATCCACCATTACAGGGGTGCTACTGGACGAGTTCCTTACCCTCGAGTGGACATTGGGAAATTTAGTAATATTATTCTTCTTTAGGGCTAGATAAAGAGAAGACAAAATGAAGGTTATAAATGGAGGAAGAGCAGGCTGATCAGAACATGTCAGCCCAACATATTCACACTGGCTTTGCTAAGAGAGCACTGCAAAGCAAAGTGGAAGCAGGCTGCATGGGAGGGGGGAAAGGCCAGAGTAGGCTAAGGGCATTAGAGGGGGACAGAGCTGGAGGAGGTTAACTAGTTCAACCGGCAGGGTGGATAAAAGCTTCTGTAGGTTCTCTTTTTTTTCTGTCTTATAAACCCAGTCTGCTTTGCAGAGTGACTACCAGCAGGACAGAAGAAGAGCCCGTTTCAAACGTCCAGTACAGAGCAATTGTGAACTGAAATAAACAAATATGACTTCAGAACACAGCAGGATCTTGACCAAAAACCAAGCAAAGCATGCGTGCAGCCAGGCAAACAACAGATTTACCAACAGATTAGTTACCAAAAGACAACCTGATTGCATGTTAGCAGCACACACAGAATGCAACTGCAAAGACAGACTTCTGCAGTGTAAGTGATTATTAATGATGATGAAATGCAGACATCATGCAGAATATTAGTGAGCCTGCCAGACCACAGAAAGTCATTTGACAAAGACCTGCAGGAGCAAAGCACAGCATATGGGCTAACTGGGAGAGCAAAGATGCATTGTGGGAAAGCGGCAGGGATGAAGCAATCAGCATGCAACAAGCTGTATCAGCTGCAAAAGCCACATGTGATAATGAACACACAAACATTCATTTTTAATTAAAAACATTGATTGAAACACACAAAAGCAAGTTATAATGCCACAGGCACTTACACAATCACGACATTAGTCATACCTGCCGTGTAGATGATTGAAGCTTGTATATGCTGTATATTACAACATGAGTGTAACATGTTGGGTGCTACTGACCAAACTGGATCATTAAATTAGACTAAAATCAGTGATTAACCCTGAAGTATTTGATTCATAACTCTGCATTTGTTTTCCATCTGTCGCCACTAGATGGCAGCTCGCAGCTTAACTTCTCTGCTCCGTTACTTGATGAGAAGAAGTGCACTCTTCACCAATTATAATCGCCTGTCAATACAGATAAGAGTATGGCCTTGGAGACAGCTTCCTCTGTGACATTATGGTTTGCCATGGTTGATAAAATAATGATGATAAATAAGGGTGTCACACTTCATGCAGGTGGGCAGAGAACAACATTACCACCCAACACCAAGTCATGCTCAGGGGAGAGGGGGGAACACACACACACACACACACACACACACACACAGACACACGCACTCAGGCATGTGTGTGTGTCTCAGGTCCGAGGTGTGAGAGTTTGAGTGTGGTGGTTAAAAGAGGAAGAGTGTGACGAGGGCATGCAAGGATGGAGGAGAGAAAGGACATAAAGGAGAAAATGTTTTGTTCCAGCAACCTTAGAGAAGAGAGACAGTTCTATAAAGCTTAGTAATGGTACTCCTCATTGAGGGCGGGCTCGCAGAAGAACCGAGAGCCGCGCTTGGCTGTGCGGGCGGTAAAGGGCACTGTCTTCAGCACTGCATTGAGAACAACAAGGACAACAGCCAAGACAAGACAAACACAATTTAAGAAAAGCAGACTCCTACAGGGTTTAGCACTTGTTAGCACTAAGCAAATACCCCAAAACAGCATCACAAGGCGCAAAAAGTATTTGTTTGATAGTGAATTCTAGCAGCTTAAGCTCTACTGAAGGGTCTGACCAAACTCTACTATAAACTTTATTTGGCTTTGTTAGATTATAGCAAATTTTTATTACAGAGATTTGGATCAATTTGGATTTCAATTCAGGACTTTAACACTAGAGGCGCATTATTCCTATGGCTAGTGGTGGAAAAAATATTAAATTTTTTTTGTAAAAGTAACAATATTGCAATGTAAAAACACTCAAATTACCATAAACGTAAGTACTAACAACAAAATGTGGTAGATATATTATTCTATCATCAATGCTTATGTGTTAATATGGAAGTAGCATTTTAATGTCATAGCTGGTTGACGTAACGCATACTACGACTATAAAACAACCTAATGCACTAGATTAGTTCATCACATTTTATCGTATTGTTTTATTGTCCTAAGTAAATCATAATATCAGCCAATATTATCTTATTGCAGATATACATCAGTATCAGTGTAAATGTTTGCCGTAAGTAACAAGAATTGCTGTACAGAAATAATCGAACTAGGTTTGAAGTCATTTAGAAACTGTGTTTTGTTTGTGTTTATGTCAAAAATTCTTACAATTGGGCAAAATACCGTGACTTCTTCAAAAAATCCTGTAATGGTTAGGCTAGAGGTCAAATATATGTAGTATGTAGTGGAGTAAAACTACAATATCTGTGTATGAAATGTAGTGAAAATGATGTATAAAGTAGCATAAAATGGATATGGATAAGTTCCTCTTAACTGTACTTAAATACAGCACTTGAGTAAATGTACTTAGATAAATTCCACCACTGCCTATGGCAAGTTTCATCACTTTTAAGTAAATATAAGATGTATTTTTTCCCTTTAGATTCACTTATATTCTAGGAGCTAGTCACAACCCGGCCCCGTCTACATACAGATGGTGTTACAAAGCAATGACAAAGCAGATAAGATAAGCAATGATCATCAGACACATTTGAGCTGAATGTCGCTGGATTAGCTGGACTGTCAGTGCATGTTTGTACTCATTAGGTTATACCTTTAGTTCTCAAACATCTGACAGCTGAATTTTGAAAGCGCCAAAGTCATTGTGTTAGTTTAGAATCCCCTTGTTAATGACTTAATGTATAGCACCGGAGAGGACCTTCATGCAGTGCGCCCTGTGTATGTGTGTTACTTGTGTGTGTGTGTGTGTGTGTGTGTGTGTGTGTGTGTGTATTCATGTGTGGGGGCAAGAGACTGCGACCAGGCCCAGGTGAAGTTACCCGTGATGATGTCCTCAATCGCTCCATCTTTGCCTTCGTAGACGTGGCGGCTGTCTTTCACCTGTTTCCTCCTGAGCTCCTGGATCAGCTCTTGCTGCTGCCGCTTGTTCTTATGAGATGGAGACTGAGGACGACACACACACACACACACACACACACACACACACACAGATACACACAGACATTAATTAACCTCTATTATAAGTCTTACTCTCAGTCATGATGAGTGCAGTGCAATCCACACCCCCAATTTCTTTTAGCTTGATGCCTTTACTCTATAAGTTTGTGCACGTGTGAGTTAAATGAGCAATTTAGGAGTAATAACTGATCCTGAGTGGATGTGCTGTGGCTCAGCAGGATGTCTGTAGAACCAGATATAACTACACCCCACGGGCAGTCGGTGCTCAACTAATCCTTCGATCAGGAGTAGGGAGGATGAAGCAGAAGGAGAGGAAGTTGAACCAGCTTACCCTCGGTCATCCACTGTAGCCTCCTGCCCTAGAAAGCAGGGGGGACTAGGGTATAGAGAGGGAGGGGATGAGAAGATAAAGGGGAGGGGGTGGAGTGTTGGGAAGGAAGAAGTGATCTTACCTTCTGGTCTTGCTCCATCATGGCCTCCTGTTCCAGAAGTTTCTCCATCATAATTTGCTCTTGCCTCTTTCTCTGCTCGTTGTCCTCATCTGCTTGCTGATTGAAGATACATGTGCACACAGTAACACATTGTTTAAATATACTGCTGTCCACCACAGAAAAAAGAAGAAACTCTTATTTTAAAAACATTCAGTAGTTTCAGCATGTACGCGGTGCAAGCTGAGATTCTATTTCAGTATCATGAAATGTGGTAAACAAGGTCATTAACACGGTTTGGAGTACTAGAGAAGAAAAAGGATGGCAGTAAACACAGCTGACACACAAGCAGCCATGAGAGGCACATAAATCTGTTGATCAAACTGCTGCTTTGAGCAAAATATAATTCACAAAGAGCCACACATCATCAACGCACCTATGCAAAAAGATGCTGTCACCTGCAGCAGCATGTGGTGTGATAGGTTTTTGTTTGTAGTGGTACTGTTGTACATGTTTCTTAAAATCTGCCCATTTATTTGTAAAATTCTTACACTTTGGTGTAAAAGAAAACATTTCACTGTAGTGATAACACCAGAAGTACATGTACTGTACATAAGGACACATACACAGAGCCATGAACACAGCTGGACCACCTCATACACTCATATCCCCATACTGACCCTCCCCAGATGCTGTTGTGACTTAAAGGGGAACTCCACCAATTTTACACATCAAAGTCTGTTTACGAGCTTTTACTGAGTACTGCTGTATATGTGAAAAAAAAGTTGTATAAAGCATTTTGTGGCTCCAGAGGGCGCTGTGCTCCCTGATGTGTACGTGATGTCACTTGAGGCAGCATCTGTTGGGGCTGAAGACTACAAGTTTGAAAGGAATCTGGTGGTGAGGAGTTAGAAAGAAGTGACCTCTGTCACACGCTCTTCACTACCAGTATAACTCACTCTAATCTCTGACCGAGCTGTTGCACTGGAAGCTGAATTGTGGGTGTAGTGTAGGCGAATGTCAGGAATAAAAAAGCTGATATCTGATTTGATCCTATTTCTAAACTGTCCACTGTTAGTTGGATTAAAGAAGACACTAAAATCAGTTGAGTATTCTTGTTGTTTTGTAGCCCAGCCGGGTGGTGAGGTGTGGTTTTTCAACTGGTTTTGTGTGACTGTGCGAGAGATGATCCAACTCACCCTGTAAGCCTTAACAAATCGGACAAACACAGGGAAGAAGACGGAGGGCGGCGTTGTTTTGGAGTTCTCCCCGAAGAACTTCACTGCCTCGTCAAAGGCATCCTTTCAAAGACAGGCAGTGTGCTTAGAAAACATTTAACCTTCACCTTTAACAGAGTTAGAAAAAAACAAGGCACTAGAGCAGATTACACAACAAGGTGTGCTCATGTTACCTGTGCAATCTTGGCATCGTCCTGTAGCTTCTTCAACTTGCTCTCATTGTGTGCAATGAAGTCTTTGAGCATGGTGTTGTGGCCGTGCATGCTGTACTCTCTTTTAGTCAGCTCCAAGCCTCTGTTTAACTCCTTAACATCCAACAGGACGTTCTCCAACGACACTGTGGACACGAGCAACAGTGTGAGTAACACGTGCGCCCGGCACTCAATGGTAAAAAGACATACAAGAACATGTGGATACATCTCACCTGCTGCAGCTTTCTCCACATAGTGCAGCTCGTTGTAGAAGAGAGAAACTTGCGCATATTTCTCCTTTACCACGTTGGCTATGTAGTGTAACAGCGTTAACTTACGGTCCGTCGACTTGGTGTCAAGTAGCTAAATTAAAAGAAAAAACACAAAACATAAGAAATAATTTGGGTAAAGAGTAAAAAGTACAAGGCTTTAAAAGGTAGAAAGAGGCAACCTACCAAGTCTAAACTTTGCAGCTTGAATCCGTACACTGCTCCTCTTTTGCTGCTGTTCATGTAGTTTCCAAGAGCCAAGATAATCTGATCAACAAGAAGGAACAAGAATGTGAAAAAGGAGACCATGCATTCATTTAACAGCATGTTTAATGCAGACACAAATTACCCAGTTACCTCTAGGATTTTCTTCAGCTTCTGTGATGACTTGATGGACACAGATGCTGCGATGACGGCATGAAGTTGCTGCGAGGAAACAAAGAGGATGGCATGAGAAGGCGTTCAGTGCAGCATTGTCACTTTCTCTGCTCGCAACATCATAGTCAATCTCTTAGTCTCGAAATATAGCATCAAAGAGATGATAGTCCTCACCGGCGTCAGCATCTGTATGCTCTCACAGAAGTTGCCGATGAAGGCCATGATGGTCATTTTCTGCATGAGCCGCTCAATTTTACTGAACTGCATCATGAAGCGGTCTTCATCCGTCAGGCTCTCCAGTGGCTTGCGCTCCTTCTCAAACTGCCGCAGGACTTTAATTTCATTCTCAGTAGGCTGGAAGCGCATCAGACACTCCACGAAGTCCACCGGCAGAGTTCGTAGGTCAAAGCTGAAAGAGGGGAGAGGCAGGCAGGTGGAGATACACAAAGTAAATTACATGCAGCATTTGATAACATATGCTTAAGGTCTTGAAACAATTGCTGATGATGTGATGTGATTGTATAACAACATTCATCAAATACTGGCATACAGTACACTCAAAACAATAATAAGTCTCATTCATTCAAACATAAGAAACCCAGTAGGATTAGGGTCTTTTGTTTTATTTTGAGGGGGGGCTTACATCTGAATGGCTTTGCAGATCTCCTCGGGAGTCTTGCCCACTTTCCTCAGTGTGATGGCCAGGTTCTTTGCTCTGTTGGAGCCCAGTAGCATCACCTTGTTGGGCCCCTTTTGATTGACCTGCTTGGTCATGGTGAGGTCGATTGCCCGGCCCTGAGCTTTCGTTTTAAACATCTCCTCGAACTCGTCCACGTTTAGGTCCTTAGAGACAGCAAGAAAAGAATAAGCTCACTTTTTCTAATCGTGGAAAAAAGAAATGGACTTGCTAACTGAGAGAAGACACCTACCTCGAGTATCCTCTCATCATCAATCTCATTGAAGACAGTCCCGTTGATCTGGTTTGGTTTCAGGGCTACCCAATTGAAGACGGGCATACAGAACTTTGTCTTGATGGGTTTCTTGATCTTAACAGCTACACAGGACACATAAGAGTTAGCACAGCGTCCCTATCTACTATCAGATAACACACACACACACATACATTCACACACATGCAGGTGAGAGGGCAGACAGGTAACTGGGATTGGTGACGCACATGGGTATGACAACAATATACTTCAAGTTGATCACATTTCTCTCTATTTTTAAACTAAACTTGGTGATACTTCAAGCAGAGTGAAGCGTGTTAGCCTCTGGCAAGAGAATAAGGCCACAGGGTAGGCCTATGGTAAGGATTTCCTGCCTGGCCTGGTGACAAACTACTTTATCCAACAGATTATGGCTATTTGTGGCCAGCAGGGTTGATTCATTGAAGCTGAACACTGAGACGCCGCCCTGCTTTGCCACACATACGAGGTGTCAGGCATGGACAGAAAAGATAGGGCTATCATGGGAAAGGTAAACAGCATTCCAGCTCTGCATACTGCCTATCACTTTCTATCAGCTGCGTGCCACAGCAGGTCATTGTATCTCAGCATGCAACCAACACTTGTGGCGATACACTTAATTCATACACAGACACACATACACACAAAAATACAAAACTACACCAACATGTGAAGGTAAACCATGCAGCATTTTGAAATGTGGTACTTTCTTTCTTGTTAAAATCATCCCAATGTTTCACAGAAAGTCTTACTGTGAGAGATACTGAGAGATGGGATGTGTTTTATACTGGGATTCAGAGACGGAAAATACCATTTTCAAAACGTGTGACAGAGGAGGGGAACAGTGTGGGGGGGGAAGACAAGACACCAAACATGGCAAGCAGAACCTACAGAAAAGTTTGATGGGTCCCTCTGGTTGGCAGAAAGAGAAACAATTCAAAGACAAATCATTACGAAATTGGCAAGAGTTAGTGAGAAAGCATACACATGCACATCTCAATCACACACGGTAAAGCAAAGGATCTCACTGACTGCTGGAACCCATAAAAACTGGCGTCACTGTATTTTCTGACTCCTAGATTTCAAGTTTTTCAGGAAGGCTGTAACTAGACTCTAATAGTCGAGTTTACATATGTATACATACCCGGGAATGTACACCCACATCTAAATACAGTAGAGGTTGATCTGGTTATGGTCTGCTTCAATGAGTCCCATAAGGGTCCAGCCTTATCAATACTCATCATCTGAGCAGGCGCATGCCTGACAGTAAGTTTGATAGGATTTGGAAACCTTTGTTTTTAAACAATTAATTAATTTGTTGGTTTGTTTGTTGCTAAGATCAAAATAATTTCACACTGCATTTTCAGCACCTTCAACATTATAATAAATCAGTAATAATTTAGCAATAGCTAATTCTGGTCCACCATCCAATGAACCTTTTTTACCTATTTTAACTTTACTGAGCAACAACTGCTTCACAGTAAAAGCCCCCCAGTGGGAGCCTCGAGCCTATGCTTCCATCACATGTCCAGTAACAGAAAGGCTTTTACAGTGAAGCAGCTGCAGGAAGTATTAAAGTGGTATTAACATTGAACGCTTGCAGTGGAGGAAAGTCATTGGAATAAAGCTGGATTTCCTTTTCAGCTCAGACAAAGCAAGCAAAGTTGCAGCCGGAGCTACTGGCAGTATGATTATCTGTTGTTCTGATACTGCCTTTATTGTGGAGAGTGAAACTCTAATGCCCTTGTGAATATCGTAATGTCCTTATATGTGTAGAAAAAGTACCACTTTTATATATAGCCATCAGCAGAGAAGTTCAGGTAACAACAAATCCTCCATTTCCTACATATAATACACACATAAACTACCCACTATAGGATTTTTCCACTGGATGACCTTACCTGCTAACCCAGAGTTCATGATAACAGTGGGCGTCCCACAGCCGGGCAGTGGGGGGGCTACAGGAGGAGGCGGAGGAGGCAGAGGTGCTGAGATCAACGAGGCCGGCCCTGTGGGAGGAAGCGGAGGTGGAGGGGGCGGTGGCGGAGGTGGGGGAGCTGCTGGTGCAGGAACAGCCGATGATGGTCCGTTTGACACTGGGAGAGAGGAGAGATGGTAAACAAAAATAGAGGGGGTGGCAAGTCCTGTGTCCTCAGCTCCATGATCTGTACATCTCTACAGCTGATGTTTGTTACAATAGAAAGTAAAACATTAACTACTTGACACTTTTTTATCCAACATTCAAAATGTGTATGTTTCTCTCCCATCTTCTCTCTTCTTTCTGCATTTCATAATTAACAGTTTATAATCTGGAGTATTAAACCTACATGTGCCGTTCACTGGCAGCGGAGGGGGTTGGGGAGGCTGTGGTGGGGTAGCAGACGTGCCCCCTACAACTCCCACGTGGTTTGAACCAACAGCAGCACTGTTTCCTCCCATCACGGAGCCCGGCAAGTGCTCCACACCGGAAGGTAGCGAGGGCAGGATGGAGATGTCACCGTCTCCCTTCTTGTGGATCTTGATGGTGCCTTGTTTCTCCAGTTCGTGGATCTTCTTTTCCAGGTTACTCTGCCGCTGGATGGCCTCATCCTTCTCCTTCACCATCTGTCGCAGCGAGTGCACCTGCGAACTTGTGTCTTTGTAGACTTCCTGAGTGGGAGAGGGATAGAAACAAGGAGTTAAGGTTTGTAAAAACTTGAAGCTGATCAAGAACTTTGGCAACAACAAAAAAAATCTAGTGTATTAATTTGAAATTAGGAACAGAGAAATCATTTACTATTAAAAAAATGGAAAACATACAATTTAAATATCTATTGTGGGGATGGGAATGTCCTTGTCTGTCCATGAAACACTTCTATATCTTATGGAACACTTTATGCAGAAGTATTGCCTTTCTATTTTTACTTAGTGGGTGCTGTATGCGCTTAAATGACAACTTAAAAGATGAATGTGAATGTTCAGAGCGGGAGTCTGACCCTGATAGATTCAAGCTCCTTGTTCCTTTGCATCAGCTGCTTCTCCAGCTCCACGATCTTGGACATGGCCTCGTTCTCCATGTCCTGCAGCTTCTCCGTCATCTATAAGAATAGCCAGGAAAAGGGTCACACAGTGCCGTGAACTCATTGCTATGACAACATCCAACTCAATATGTCAGCAAAGAGATCCGTGGGGTAATGATGAAAGGCATTTCATTTGTATATATTCTTCTGGATTAAAACACACTATGAGGATTTTAAAGTTATGAATGTTGCAAAAAGAGTGTACGTGTATGTGTGTGTGCCCTCTTTTTATGGTGGCTGACAGTTAAGGGACAGCATGAGATCATAGTAATCCCACTCTGAAAGGGCACTGTGTGATAACAAGCAAGTGTGACAGAGCTTCAAACAGACTGCCATCAACATCCTAAGGAGTCAATTTTGTGGATTTTAGAGATCAGAATCAACAGTCGAGGCCTCTCACATGTGACATGTTCTCCTCCAGCTCCTCCACGCGCTCTAGGGCAGCGTTTTTGGTCTCCGCATCCTCCAGAAGGGCTCCCACGTCAAACACATTATCCAAGTAGGCCTGGATCTGAACCTGCAGCTTATCGCTCTCTGTGTGCTTTAGTTTCTGGAAAATACACACGCACAAAAAAACAGATATTGTAATGATAAGAGCGACATCTCATTCTCCGAGGCCAGCATTGATCTCACTTATGGATTTACAGAATTTTTTCTGAGGTAATTAAAACCAATTATTGACTGCGTTTCTGTCTCAGGGGCGCTGTAATGACAACCTATGCTCTGGACTGGGCAGAATATTAAGAGCCAAGTCCGTCCTTTTTGTCCAGCATCATTAAGTCTCAACTCACGTCTAAGTAGTCGTCCAGACACAGTTTGGTGAAGTCGAACTGTAGATGAACTCGGAAGTTCATGTCCTCCACTGAGTGCACAACTATGTTGATGAACTGCATACAGGCCACCTAGGGAATAAAAACAGAGAAAATACAGTTAGTAGGTGAGGATAAATTGTTGTAATTTAAAAATATTAGCATGGCCATGAGATCAAAACAAGCTGATGACAATTCAAGGTAAAAATGTGTTAACAGACTAATCTATTTGTAAGACAGCCTGGTACTTTCATGAAATGGTTTTATGCCTATTGTCACATCTATTTCCTTTTAATTCGGTCCCCTGAAACTGTGTGTATAAATCCTTATTATTGTGCTTGCTTGGTGGGCAGAGCAGCTTATCTGGCAGATTAAAAAGGATCTGAAAAAACAACAAACAAAATCACCCGGTTCAACTACATCAGCTGCTTTATGGAAGCCTGCATACAGAGGGGGGGGGCGGCTTGTCACAGCATCTAATGTACACACTCACACTTCTCCTCACCCTGACACTGGCTTGATAAACTTCTGGTAAGAAGCTCAGTTGTCTCGGTGAAACATGACAGCTTTGACAAAGTCTGTTTGCTTTAGTCAGCTGAAAGCCTACAGAGGGTACTTGTGACAGGAATCCTATTGAATGCCTATTCAAACACAGCTTCTGTTGGTTTTCACTCACATGGACACACACACACACGCTGGATAAAATAATGTATAAGTTGGCACTTCCTTCACAGTGTCTTTCATTCTCATCTGCCAGGCTAATTAGCACTACTCTGTCTGGAAATGACAGACTTGGCCAAGGTTCCTCGCTTAAGGCTACTCCTCCTTGATGTACTGCACCCCACATCTGAAGTTTCTGCTGTGATGAGAAAAATTAGAGGCCTCGCACGAAGACTGATAGCCCTTGTGTGTGTGTGTGTGTGTGTGTGTGTGTGTGTGTGTGTGTGTGTCGTCAAAGCAGAGGCCAAATCATTGCCCTCTCTTTTGAGGACACACATTGAATAATATCTGTATTTCTAACCGGCTGAAAACTATGACTCATGTTTTTATTTGATCACTTCTGGACCAGCTATTCCTAATTGCTGCCCCTCTAAACACTTTACACAAACAGCATTCACTCAAGGCTTCTTCAGCTCAAAGAGCTTCACAACCTATCTGCATTTTTGCCGGGTGATGTAGGATTTTCAAGGGATTGTAGCACGATCAATAAGCCATTAGCAGAGTGTGTGTGTCTGTGTGTGTGTGTGTGTGTGTGTGTGTGTGAACATACCATGAAGTCGATGTTGTTGTCCTCGTTCTTGAAATACTCCATTAGCCTCTCAAACCGCTGTGTCTCTATACACACCTGCAAAACAAACCACATCTCACTTATTGTATTTACTGGCTTCCAGGTGTAGCCACAGTGATTTATGCATAAACGACACTGCTCATAATTCACACAAACCATGGAATACACTGCCTAAGTGATTTCACGTTATATTCCTGATTTCAGCTTTAATTTCTGCGCTGCTGATACACAGTGAGACTAGAAATGAATGCTCACTATCAAGAGTATTTGGTGAAGATGAAAAGTCAATGACGTTAGCTGCTAAATACATCACAGCTCGCCTTAACCTCGGAGAAAGAGGGTGATAATTACTATAATCAGTTATTCATGAACTGCTGCTGAATGATTCTTCGGTTTTATATAAAGCCACCCAAGTATGTACACAGTGCATCTGTGTTCCATATGGCTTGTGGTACAACTTTCTACCACATATACCAGAGTTTTTTTGTCCTGCCAGTGAAACCTACTTGAACTAGAATTTGGAGAGACACAGAAGAACAGAGACCGAGAGATGAAAAGAGATTCTCTACAGTTCAGACGGTTCATCTGGAGGGCAATGAGGGAGATGGAGCATGATAAAGAATTGAGAAGGAAGGGAGGAAGAAAGAGGAGGGGCGTGTGTATCCAAAAACCTCTGAATAATGTTTGACTCTACAGCCCCTCCATCAAACACGCGATATCAAAGTCACTAAGCAAACTAGATCAAATGACGCTACATTTGAAAGTGTCACTTTTTAACTAAAAGGGAAAAATAAACAACTAAACTCTGTAAGAAGGATACACAAATGTGTCCTCAAATGCTTCCTGCTGCCTACACTATCATGACACAAACCTGCATCTCATTAGACGAGCTATGATGTCCCTAAGCCCTATTCTCCCACCAACGCCACTGAGAGCAACACTCAATATTTCATTCAGGGGTGTAAATATTGCATTAACTGCAGTCGGCCCATTTTTGCGGGCCGTATGCTACAAAATGGGGCGGCTGTTAGCGCCCACTCCATCATAAACCTCCCACTCTTTTCTCCAGCTAGCCAGAATACCTCATCCAGACAGGCAAGGGTCAGGCAAGGCTGTCTGTTACATCTTTCTCTCTGCTATTCTGAGGTTTGATGTGTCTGCCAAATCCAGTTGACACACACGTAACTGTTTTCTTTGGATGTCGAGGGCTCCTGTGTTATGAAGCTAAACCACTGTCTATGGTCTACGGACAAAAGAGTTCATTCTTAGATGCAATCCCCTTTGCAGGAATGAGGAATCTGCTGGTCTCACATCTGCCGGGGGAGCATTCCTCCAGGGATGAGTCACTGTTTGAAATTGCACAGTCGAAATTATAATGACATATTCGTCTCCTCAGACCCCACTTCCCCTCTCCGTGTAGCTCGTACCTCCTTAAAGTTGTCGAACGCGGAGAGAATAATTTCATGGCCTCCTCTCACGAGACACACTGCCGCCAGGAGCTCCAAGACCAGGGCTTTAGTTCTGTAAAACAGGGAGAAAATAAAGGCAGCAATGGTTAGTAAATGACAAGTGCCAGCGCTGCAGCAAACCTCTACTTAAACACGGAACAAACAAAGAGGAAAACCCTGAAACCTCCATGTAGAGTGGATCTATTGCGGTTTTTATTCAAATTAACATCTTTTAAACTTGTTTTTAAAATAATACAACTTTATAAAATTATTATGCTGAAATATCAAGGATGTAAAGGTCTGCCTTAAATAACCCATTGAAAAAATTGTTTTGTAATGTCACAACCTGAGAGAGCTCCACATTTCATCTTATCCACTGGATTAAAAGGCAGGTATAAAAAAATAAATACTTCAGGTCTAATCCGTGTGTTTTCTGTGTGTGTCTGTGTTTGTCTGTTTGTGTGTGTGTCTTGGAGCACACAGGACAGCGACATTCTGTGCGTCCACTCTGCCTCTCATTCATGGAGGATTTCTCTGCCTGGATGAGATGGTATGTGACAGGTGATGCGAAGTGGTTTCACATCCACTTTTGAGGAAATCCTTAAACCTCTGGGCATGAAGTGAAAACACACACACACACACACACACACACACACACACACACACACACACACACACACACACACACACACACACACACATAAGTGAGTCCTTCTGCTGGCTGTTTCAGTAAGCAGCTGCCAGTGTAGTGGAGTGTGCCAATGGCGCCCTGACCCGTCTGTCGGGATGAATGTGCCCCTGAGCTACAAAGACACTCACTCTGGATCCGACTGTGCAGGTGCACTGAGGCTAATGTTGGAATGTTCCATTATGAATTTGGGTCTTTGTTGGTAAAATATTTGGACTTGTTAAGCTCCAAACGTACAAAAAATCTTTTATTATCTGTCTTTATTAGCAAAGAGATACGTAAGCACATCCAGGTATTAAAGTAGATAAAGAGCAAAGAATCTGCAAAACGTCTCTTTTAGTCAATTTTGTTAGCTTTTTGTTCGAACTTACCTTGGGTTTTTATTGTTGAGACTTAGTGCAATTTCATTCACAGCATGTGGGTGTGACATGACCATGTTGAAGCCATACTGGAAGTTGAAAAAACAAACAGGAGGGAGTAAGACAGAGACAAATTAAGCTAATTAAGAGAGAAGAGGAGCCACAGAAAGAGCAAGAGATGCATTCCTCTGCATAATAAATGAAACACAGAACTAGCAGGGGAACAAATTGAATTTGGCTTCAGTTAGATAAATGTGTTGTAATCTAGAGGGACATGCGGCCTGCGTGGGCGTCCTCCAGGGACTGAAGAGGGCTGACCTGGTAGTTCATAATAGCACGCAGGCACATGATGCAGACGTGGACGTCGTCTTTCTTGCAGACCAGTCTGGAGTTTTTCAGAGTTCTCCGGCTCGGCAGTGTGTTGCAACTAAATCAAATGATAGAAATGACAAAAACAATTCAGCGATAAAAGGAAACAAGGGCTGAGCTACCAGAAGAAATAACAGAAAATGACAGATATCTCCTAAAAATGACTGTAGCAGCAAAAAAAAGCAATCACTCGTAAACGGTTACAGACCGATCCACCTACAGTAGATAACTGGCTTGAAATTGTAAAAGAGATCCATGAAATGGAAAGAGTGACTCTCCTACTGAGATTGAAAAATGACGTATACATCACAAGATGGTCAAAATGGAGAAGATTTTTCACATATGGTTAGTGGTTTCCCTGTCAAAATGTAATTTACCTTCCCTTTGCTGTACACTCTATCAAACATGGAGACGTAAATACAAAATACGCAGCGCTGTTTAACGCCCCCTTGTCCATAATCCAGAATATGAAGTTGGATATATGAATGTTGTGGATGTCATAATGCCGTCTGGCAATGATGTTGATGTACTGTGCTGTTATTTTTTTTTTTTGTTGAAAAGTCTTTTTAAAAAAAGGAAACAAGGGCTGTTTTAGTAAAAGAAGTGTTGAGTCTATGAGCATCTGAACACAAAAGAAATGGATAAATAAGAAAAGGCAGATGCTATTTGTAAATGAGCCTCTATCACACGCCACCTCCTTCACATAGGGAGGCTATTAAACTGCCACACCACCTTACATTAACACACACAAAGGCCATATAATCTACAGTCTCACCAGAGGCCTCAAGATGCCCTCTTTCAATTGTTTTAATTTTATGTCCTTCACAAAGATATCACTTACAGCTAACACAATAGGAGCCAGTCATTTGCATGCAGCACAGTGATTGTGCAGCTTTATGTGTACAAAAAAGGGTTTTTCTCCCAGTGCAGCTCTCACAATAAGAAGAGAAATGCTGGAGCAGCAGTATCACTGAATAATATGCAGAGCCAGTCAGAGCAAAACGGTTTATTTTCAGACTTTTGTCACGAGGTTCAATTACCAGCCCGGGTTCTGGAGAAAAATGTGTCTCCGGGCTACTGATAGACACGCCGATTTGAGTCAGCTCCCATGCCTGAAGCCGTGACTCCTCTGTGAGTCACAACATGGTGTGTTAGTCTGAAAAAAAGCTGGAGAGTTTAAGGACAAACGTAAAACTATTTTTAATTAAGCACATTCACACGGAAATAAGCTGGAAAACAAATGTTGTGTTTGTGCTCAAGTGTATGTCGGACATTCACTATGTGAGTTTGTGTGTTTTTTGTTGTTGTTTTCTACACGCCGTGTACAGCGGGATGTGGTGCCAGCCGGGTGCAAAACAAACTCGCTGACATAAATGCAGTCAATTCATGCGACACTTGCTGACAGAACTGCAGCGCCGGCTTCACACAGTAGCACAAATAATCTTAAAAGAGTTCATCCAGGGCTTTTCCTCTCCTGATTAATCAACATCCAAACTGGGGCGTGGCACCGCACAGAGGAAATGAGTAACAATATTTCTTGGACTCAAGCCCTAATGATAAATGATTACACAACACCAGTAAAATGTAATACCTTGACCTGCTTTGACTTGTCAGAAATTACTCAACTAAACTTTATATAACACATTAACTAGAACAGAGTTAATCCAAAGGGCTTTACAGGAAAAACAAACAGAGGGAATATAACTTCAATAAGTTTTCAGTAAAATAGAGAACAAGCATAAAGATACAGATACGGTTTAACATTCCAGATTGAAAGCCTGTGAGTGTGATGATGATCAAAAAGATCAATGAAAGTAGGAAGGGAATACAATAGTTTTCAGGTGGCTAATGAGAAAGAGCCTTCATCATAACATTTATGTCTGTGATATTGTAGCATACGGACAGGATTTCCCATATTTTAGTGGTTTTGTTTTAAATGAAGTATAGCAGTCTCAATCCTTGTATCCTGGTGTGTGCTGGAATAGTATTGTTGTTTGGCTTACTTAGATATGGAAGGATATGTTGGGATGTTGTGGTGACCTAAGGATTTGAGGAAATGACTTTGTACCAGTAACATTCCTGGTTTGAGTCTGGCCTGGTACCCATGTCACACGTTATTCAGCATCCCTAATTTACTGTCTCTCCAATAAAAGCATAAAATTACTTTTTGGAAATAGTACAGTGATGATTGAATCTGGATTTAACAGCCTGATTTATTTGTTTGTCACATTTAAGTGCCAAACTAAAAATGACCCCAAGAAGATAAGACGCCCATAAGGAAGGGAAGAGAGGTGAGAGGTGCTGTCAAAGTTCTGAGCCGTCCCGGATTTAATGTCCTGGTTACAAAACATGAATACAAAAAAACTTCCTGCCCATTTTCTCAAAGCGCCACAACCACAATAAACAGAGCATATTTTAAACAACACCAAAGAACAACATCAACCACTACAGCTATAACTACACACTATAAAATACAGGTCTAACACAGCTACATATTTCTAGCTAAAATCCATGTAGCTCTTCACACATACCGTCTTATCTGAGAGCACTTTGGACAGCTCAGTGTCCCCGGCGTCCTTAAAGATGGCAGTTTGAAGAAGACACATGCAAATCTTAATTTGACACGCAGTTGTTAGCAGCTCTTGAGTTTACATTGTTCTAATTTTAAGCTAATCTAAAGCGAGATAAACACAATAAAGGGACAAAGATTCTGTATAATGGACATTTAAGAATTATAAAACCGCTGACAGTAGATCAGAGCAAATGCTTCATAATTAGTGTGATATCTCACAGATGATGCATCCAAAATACAGAAGACTTTTAGTACCTTATCTACTTAGTGGTTGAAGCCAAGTAAAAGCCTTAGCTTTTACAGGGCTCTTGTAGAAAACTAGGCTAGCGTCTGCACAGAATGGCATTTAGGGAGCCACACAAGCAGCAAACAGGCACAGAGGCAAGAACAATGAGTGCAGAAAAACCCATTTGCTCCAAGGAAAAGGAGAATTCAGTCTGAAGCGCAGGAGGGGAGGCTGGCAGTACAAATAATTCACATCCCCAACACAGACAGTGGGACAAATAAACTGGGCAGCGCTAGCAGGGAGGTATAATGTACAATGAGGCAGGGAGATTTTATATGTGTGTGTGTATGTTAGTGTGTGTGTGTGTGTGTGTGTGTGTGTGTGTGTCTTGGGAGGGAGCAGGGATGCAGGGTTAAGGCTGCAGAAAGCTCCCTGCAAGCCAGCAAAGTGAACCTGCCTGCAATCGAAGACTGGCAGACAGTAGAGTAGATGACTATGGAGGAACACCAGGACAGAACAGAAGAGACAGTTAGCCTCGGTGAAGACCTGTTACACACTGTACATGCTCGAGAGGGACACAGCAGGACATCTGGAGGCGAGGTGATGTGACGAAGGAGTACAAAGTCAATTATGAGTTTGCTATGAGCCAAAAATTATATTATAGGAAATGTCTGCCAAAAAGTCACATAGAATATATGTAAATGACAATGAAAAAAGCCCTGATTGTGTGGTGATTGTTGGATATGACAACATGCAATGTGCATAAGAAACTGCTGCAAACCTAGGACGTTCCCATAAAAGCTTTGCATTTTTTTCTGATAAGCTGCATACTGTAGGTGTGGCTGTACAAACAAAACACACCTTTCATATCTATAGCCGTCTACGACCGATGGCAAACTTGGATTAGAGTCTAAATTATTGTAATATAGGAGAGCAAAATGGTGAAAACATGCTACATCTACTTATTTCAAATGTACCAAGAATGAAATCTAAGGGCAAAGAGCGCTGTACCGAAACATCAATGGAATGACAGGGAGGATTAGAGAAATAATGCACAACTGAATAGGATTTGTGCTTCAGAGCATATATCAGCATGAGCTTATGAATTAACTTCTGTGAAATCCTCGGTGTTCAGGATTTGGAGTTAAAATGGTCCGTCTGGTTTTCATGAAAACAAAACAGAAAAAAAAGTTTTGCTTCATAAAAGAGATCTTTTCCTGCTGCATCGTCTGTCACATGACAAAAAAACTGCTGTCAATCATGTGTCATAATCCTGGGTCAGTCTGACAATTCAAATAAAAACAAATAGTATTTTGCCTCCTGCTGCAGAAATGTGTCTTAAGCCATTTAAAGTCTTACAGACCACATGACCACATAAAGGGGCTGCTGAGACATCATATGAAATGCCTGACTTCTTAAAATAATCACAATACAACCATTTTGTTCCGGCTTAACACTTGGTAACAGGGGGGGAAAGGGGACCATGAAAGGTAAAGTTAGCTGGAAAAAACGGCAAAATATGGTAACAATCTTTTTAACCATCAATAAGCATGTGCATACCGTAATGTGGAATGTCGTCCAGCACGTGTGATGCCATTCCCAGTGATGGGAGACGGCAGGGTGCTTCCTCCATGCAGGTCTTCTATAGAGCGGCTCCAGGGCTTAGACTTATCCATCACAGCCTCTGGGTTGTTCTCCGCACAGTCTCCATCAAACCTGTTGTCGAAGAAAAATCATTCAAGTCCAGTTCAGGTTTGCTGTGGTGATGTGAGTTTATTAAAGCATGCCGGCATCCTGTTGAACTTCTATACACAGAGCAGATCTGAGGCGGTAAGTGGACCCAGAGCAAATTAAATAAGGTACTTTCATACATGTACCAATACAAAAAAACAGTATGTAAATGCTAGCCATTGATCAGGCAGTCACCAGACATTACACGATCAACATCAGAGTCAAAGTTAAAAGTGGCAGGAAAGGTAGGTGTAGGGGTTTGGTCAAGAGGGAAGGAGACAGCGAGAATACACATTTAGTATATGAAACGTATGTATTTTCTTCATCACTGTCAAACCGCGTTGAAGGTTGGAATTATTTTAAGCCTGACAGCCGTGATAATGCTATTTGACAATAATTAAAATTGGATAACAGTCAAACCTTGATCTGTTTTGTTTAACACAGACAAACCATTTTTTCAAGAAGCCCTACAATTTGGTGACTAAATGTATGTCTTAGGCAAAACATTTTACACTTAAGAATAAACTTATTTGAATCATGAAGGTAACAGTAAAACATCAGACGCGGCTTGGATGAGTGACTAAGACAACTACATTCATTTGGTCAGTCACTAACATTAATGAGTGCTGGCAGAAGAGCAAATGTGCACAACTCTCAATATTTCAGGTTTTTGGTTGGGACATAATAGGTAAGTAAAAGGTCTCATGTTTTGTTGTACTTGGCAGAAACCTTGGAAAGAGCTGGTAGTTACAGCATACCTGTTATGATCTATTTCAGTTTTTAGACTGGTCGTTTCCAGGACTTTTAAATACTGCTGCAGTGGCACTGAGGGTAAATACACTTTTACTGCTAACCATTCATAATGTGGACAGACCATAATGATATATGGCGAAGTGGAGGAGTGAATTAAAAATTTAACTGCGTGGCTCTTTGGCCCTGAACAGGGACCATGTGACTGACTAATAATCACACCGTCAATCTATGAATAGAAGCTTATGGTTGGTACACAGTGCCAATGTGTCAGCAATGGGCCCCGAGTGACTCAGTGTTTCTGACAACCAGGCAGCAACCGCAGCTGTGGTGGTGCTATGTGGAGATGCATCAGCGGCTGTGCAGAATAGCACCATTGTGTTGCTTGTCAGTTCTGCATATAGACTATAGAGGTATAGAGAGAAAGAGCTGGTAGTGACTTACGTGACGGCATACTGTGCAAAAGAAAGATACTCCACCAGCACGTCCAGGCCTTTGTTCTCTTCATTTAAGAATTCTCGGACCCACCTGAAGAGAGACGAAAAGGGCTTAACTATAAAAAAAAAGGTTTAAAGGTACACAAAGTCTTATAAAACCATTTGGTCAGTTTCTGGATAGAGATCTAGGCACACTTTCAAATACAGGTTTATAGGTTTAATCGGTTTTAATAAAAACTCATCTCACAGTGATAAAAAAAGTTGGGGTATCTACAGCGAAGCAGTGTATTGAAAAAATGAACAGTACCTTATAGCTGTAAAATAAAATTAAACATGCACTGAAAGAAAAACTTTATTTGATTAAATTTAGTATTGTCTTGTCTCATCACTAAATGCTTAAAAATGTGTTAACTTCAAGTATCAATGTTTAACATATCTAATATCAACATGCCTCACCATCACAACAATAAAAGAAATGAACACACACACACACACACACACACACACACACACACCACACAAAATAATAATAATTTTGTCATATAAGTCTACAGATCTGGGGCCGGTCGCACACAGGCATCCACGCACACATACCGAATCTCATCACCAAGTCTGCCCGTCTTCTCTTTCCCCGTTTCTCAACAACACACACACACATAGTTTCTAACTCTGGTAAAGACAAGCTCCCAGAATGATCAAAAGCCCATTCTCACTTTCCTCACAGGCACTCAAGTGGGCCACCCATTCAGTACTCTCTGTGCTTTCATTTTTTTATTCCACACAGAAAAGCAGAGCTTTTTCACAGGAAAGCTCCTGCCACCTTTGGCATGTACTGTTCTCCCTCCATATTTATAAGCAGTGTGAGCTGAATCACAGAACATCTTTATTTAATCGCATCCTATGAAGGTGCCCATGTCTTTTTTATTGGAGCCCCAACTGCTTCGACAGGCCTGATTGCTCTGTGATTAGAGAAATTTGCAGGGCATAAACATAATGACACGCAGGCAGGCTTTTGAGTAGTACCGTGATGATGAGGATGTAAGGCTAAACTGCTTTAAAAATCCACTAGCTGCTCCTTTATTAGCTCCCCTGTGGTGTAACTAAATGGGAGTGAGTGAGACTGACGAGAGCGTCCAGTAAAGCGCTGCATGGAGGGGCCCGTCGGGTTTTAAAAGGGCTTGGAGGTGTGGCCTTGTCGGGCCACATGGTAATCATTACCACAAGACACTAACTAACAATCCTCCCATTCACCACATGTTGTTGACCACTGAGCAACATGTGAGGAGCAAGCAGACAGGGAGGGAGCCCAAGGGGGTTATCGTCAGCAGCGCTTGTACAGGGACAGTCTGCCCATTATACACAGCCTACATGATGGATACATTTCTCTGTTTCACCTCTGAAAAGAAGCAGTAATCATTCACTGTCTGAGCGGGTGACATCTTGCTCCCTAACCACTCCCTCCACTCGACTGTCTCAATCTCTATTCCCGTCCCTCTGCCATTATGGTAATGCTACATTGTCTAATCCAGATTAGGTAGATTATTTATGTAATCTAGTTTACTAACATAAGGTCTCTGAAAAGAGTTAATCCATTTAAACAACACCTCAACTGATTTGCCAAAAGAGCATCGTCTTTGGCCGTGGTCAGAGTTTATTTTGGTTTGAAGAGTAGAATCTGATCAGTGTGTAATGTGTGTGTAGGAGTGTGAGAGACACTGTTGTCAGACACATGAGATGATTTGGGTGAGAGTCAGTAAAATAGACCAATTGAAGTAAAGTCATGTGTGTGGGAGGAAGGAAGAAGAGAAAAGCAGAGGGATTAAGAGATGTAGTTTAGATACTGTGTGTGTGTGAGTTCATGTGACGGTTGTGTAACCGGTGTGTTTCTGATTCTTTGCTGTCATAACAGGCTGTGGGCAGCGGATGCTCTCATTGCCGCCTCTTCCTGTCCTTGACGGGGTCTGCATATCTCCCGTGACCGCCCACTTCCAACATCCATCCCAGCTGTTAGCCCTCAGCCTCAACCCTATCAAAGAGTCCTCTTCAGCTTCATTTGTACACATAGAATCCGATTTACCAATTTTCTTTCCGTGCTTGAGGAGGTTAGTCGATTTTAAACCACGCGACCAACAAACTCTGGGTGACACACAAGTCTAATGATTGGTAAATGTAATAAATTTCTAAATTACAGACACACAAAACAACTCTACTATCAGAAATGTCTGCAGAAATGATTGTCAACTAAAGTTCCTAAAGATGTGCACTACATTACCCACAATGCAACTCGACTGGCTGATGTGTTATGCTAGTCGTGTCTTCGGCAGCCTCGGGTGGAGATTAGGAGCAGGCTACAGAGGTAATTTTCCCTTTTTCTAGCTTCACACCAACAGATTTTTTTCTTTTCTTCTTCAGAACCAACTGATGCTGACTCAAGTGACATCACTTGAGGCAATTAGCAAGACTTGAGGCGATATTAGATTTCACACAGCTCCCTTTGAAGCCACAGAGGGCTTTATGCAACTTTTTAGTAGTAAAAGTAGTACTCCCCAAACCCTGCCATTAGATTATATCTTATCTTGCACATTGCAATATCAATTTGTGTCACACTGCCACACATTCCCTAAATAATATTTTGTACATATTATCTCTCTTTTTATATTTGGATATATTGTCCCTTATAATTGTCTCTAATTTTATCTTTATTTATATTTGTCTATGTTTATTGTTTTTTTTTACCAATTTACCATGGCAAAATCCTGATAAAACCGATTCTATAAACAGACTTTGATGTGTAAAATTGTCGAGTTCCCCCTATTTTGCCTTGTTTCTATCGCAGTGCACTGTTTTGGTACCACTCAATTTAATCTAACTATATTATTATATATATTTTATATAATTATTGTATATTATATTATATTTCCATGTCTTTTTTTGTGGAGTGTAATTCTTTATTTGACCATCACATAAAATGAAATCATTTTTCATCTGTCCCCATACTGTATCTTTAGCCATTTAGGTGTTGCCTTGATAAATGAGGCCCCTGGATCCTACAGATCCCAGAATGCATTAGGTCTCATTAATGATGCTGAGCAATCCATCACAGTCTTTAACTATCTGGGTCTCTAATCACAGAGATGGGCCCCAATGATCTAGAGCAAGACAAAAACACGGAGCCATTGTGTGATGCTCATTGAGATATTGATCTTTCCTTGAAGACGACTGTACAACGGTGAATCAATATCAGCTGCAGCAGGTTGAGGCTTGTTACCCTTGAATACCTGGAATTACAAATGAATGCTCCAGTGTTTTTATCTGTTGTGAAATCATGATCTCTTTAGTAACAACTACAGTAATGCCTCTTCAGGATGGTGCACTGTTATATCAAGTTGTGCAGCTCAAGTACCGCAAGAAAAATGTGTTTTCCTTCCAGAGGCTGCTCATGTGTCAACCGCCCCAAACAATCAATCGATTCATCTTTTCTCCATCGCCACATGGCTTTCTGTGTAATATTAGGCCAGAACGCCTGTGATGAATGGGGGATGGTGGTGGTGGTGGTTAGTGTCAACGTCTCCGGGTGTCTGGAATGTCAGACTTTTCCCCCCTTTCTATATTCCATCTAATATTAACCAGGTCCAGGTCATTCAACACTGCGAAAGCTTCACACAATCCTGCAGAGACTCACCCTATGTGATTGGTCCGTAACGAAATTTCCAGTTCTCTCAGGACTTGGGTGGACTCCTGAACTCTTCGTCTGAATTTCTGAGGAAGGAAAGAAGGGGGGAGTTAATATTTCATCATACCAGTAGAACTGTAAATCATCAAGTGGTAGCGCAGGGATGTTTTGGCTGGAGGAAACCTTTTTCTGACAGAAAGGTCAGACAAACAGACACAAACCGCAGTGACATTTAAATGTGAAAGCAGGCAAGCAGAGGACTGATTACAAAATAAAAATCAACGTTTGGTTTGGGTTGTTCTCATAAGATGTTTAAGTGGGCTTTTAACTTGCCAGTAACCATTCAACAGGCCGAAAGAGAAAGGCGAGCTGACTCATTGGAAACTGTGAATATAACAGTTCTCGTTATCTTGTTTGCTCACATTGGTTCTTTATATGGCAGTAATCCCTACTGGCAGCAGCGTGATAAAATCAAGTAACCTAATTGGTTACCTCTCAAGCCCTTCGAGGACACCCAGCAGCCTCACAAACACACAGGTACACACACACACACACACACTCACGCATTCTTGGCCCTGTTACTGTGGCTACAGCTGTGTGTGAGCGACATGCTTGACAGTATTATGAGCTGCCAGTGAATGAAATAGAATACAACAGAGCAGAGAACGTGAGCAGGGTTCCTCTTTGATTTTATCCTCTGACAGGAGGTGATCTGTAAAAACCAAAAACAAAAGGCCCTTCAGGCTGTTACACAACCGCACCAACAAAACAAGCAAAGTGAATGACCAGCGGTGATCAAACAGGAGGGGGAAATCCCTGATGAGAAGGAGTGAAACTGTTGCATCAGAGGAGAGGAAAGGTATAATTTCTACTTTTAATACACCACTGTGCTTGTGAGGTTTAAAATATTGCATAAATATTTTCAGTCCTATGTCAATCAAACACGTTTTCTTTTCCTTTCTTTTTCTGGGTTTTCTGTACAACAATAACATAAACCACTCACACTCTTTATTTACTACAATATTGTTATGGTTATGGATTGGAAGTAAGAAATTCAACTACTTTAATGCGTCACTACCCTCGTATAGTTCCAAATACTACAGTATGTCAGATTCAAAACATACTAAATTATACACCTTAAAGAAAATTAACACAATTATCACGTTTGCCAAGTAGGTTATGTTTTCAGATGCAGTTTGTTTGTCATCAGGATTACAGAAAAGCTACAGGCTGGATTTTCAAGTAACTTGGTGGAAGGGTACAACACAGGGCAAGAAAGAACCCATTTAATTTTGGAGAGGATCACTTTTGTAACATTCTGAGATTTTAATCGTCTATGGCAAAATGAACTGAATTTGTCGCCCATGCAACCAGTCAAGTGAAACAAGTGAATGGGGTGACTAAACATGCATCTAAAGTATATAATAAGTGTTATTGTGACTTTGTTTTCTAGTTATGGGAAAATATAACAATAACTTTTTCTATAATATCAATATATTTATGAAGAAAATGAGTTATTTAATATCAACTTTTTTTTATTCATAACCTATAATCAAATAAAATAGATGTGTTACAGCATCTTAAATGTGAGAATTTGCTGCTTTTTCTCAGCTGTATATAAATTGTAAACTAATTATCTTTGATTTTGACAGAGAAACATTAAATATATATATATGGAAAATAATTAAAGAGACCAATTGCACCTCTTATTATGACTTCCCTGACAAACATACTACAGTAACATTAAAAAGGGGTTTTAACATACATTTGTTCTACTTAAAATGGCAGAAGAGAAGAGAAGAAGTTCAAGTATCCACCCAGGGTTGGAGGGCCTGGTCACTTTCCATGATGTGTTTGTATCAGGGAGGAACCAGAGCTCAGCCCTGTGTTAACCTACTATTAACATCCACAGTAAAGAGAGCTGTTCCCAGAGCTAGGGTCTCTCTAGTCTGTGTCTTTGGGCTTGGGCGGTGTGTGTTTGGCACATGAGAAGATGAGAAACAGAGTGTTTTTATTAGGGAGGAGCCCTTTGTGCGCGTTTGTGTGGAAAGCAAAGCATATTTAGGGGTACTGCGCAGGCTCCCAGAGGCACGCCCCCTCCCCTTCTTCTTCTCCCACTGAACGCCCTACACTCCACACTTTAAGTACTACCAGCTGCAACACAGAGAGAGCAGGAAGAGAGAGGAGCCGACAGTTTGGGGAGAGGGTGAAGACCACGGTGAAGACAGAATGAGGGGAAAGGAGAGGAAGAGGAGGAGACAGGGAGGGAGCAGGGAAAGGGGAAAGTAAGAGACAGCATATACAGTGTGAAGTGTGTGTGTGTGTGTGTGGGGGGGTTTGGGGGAGAGTGAGCTCAGGAGAGGTCATCCTGGAAACAAATCAATGGCTGATACATTCTTGGGGACTAGTTGGACTCCAGCTCTTCCTCCTTGGCTGCCTATTGGCTGGGAGCTGCCCAGAGGAATGCATCGGAGCCTGCCTATGGAAAGCAAAGGCAACGACCTCCAGCTCTCTCACAGCGGCACAAAGTGGCAATTGTTTTGAGTTTGAAGAAAAGGGGGATGGAGCAGGAATGTAGAAAGAAGCCCATAACTCTCTTTTCCTCTCTTGTGCTTCTTTTTTGTCTCTCTCTAGCTCTCTGCCCATCTCTTTCTCCCCCTCTACCCTTTCTCCATTATTCAGTTTCTCCCATGCCCTTCTCACTTTACTCGCTCGTGTAATTCCTCGTTCCTTGTCTGCTTCAAGTTTTTGAAAGAGGCAAGAAAAAGTGTCAGCAGTTCAAGGCGGGATGATTTAAAAAAAATAATCCCACATGTCTCATACCCATGAGACTAAACATTAAAAACAAGATGATAAATAAACAAAGACACATTTCGGCAAGTCCCTCAAAGGTTGCCTCATCTAGAGTGGTTTAATATAGACCCAACAACCAGTTAGTCATGCAGCCACAGATGAGATGATCAAAAAAGAAGAGGAAGGTTGTGGTTTACTAAAGTTTGTCTATCAGAATCTATCTAAATATTGTCTTGTCTGTCTGTGTTGAGTTTTTACACCCAGAGACCTTTAAACATGGTCATCATCTCCTAGTTACATGAGAGGACTGACACCACTCTCGTGTCTTTATACCCTAAATACAACCAGGAGATGGTTTTTATTACCTTTGGACAGAGTGAGGCTAGCAATTTCCCATCTGTTTCCAGTCTTAATGCTAAGCTAAGCTAACTTTGCTGTTTAGCAGACAGACATGAGAGCAGTGTCGGTCTACTCATCCAACTCTTGAAAAAAAAGTGCGTAAGTGCATGCGAAGTTATGATTGACCCTAGATCTTTGCAAAAGGGTTGTGTTGCTGTTGGACACCGAGTGCCATAGTCTACGTCTCTAACCTTGAGACTATCGCTGCCCAAGCACAAACTGCCACGCTTTTAACCTTTGCTGTGTTTTGTCTGCTTTAACCTGCGTCAGTCTCCTCGTGCTTCCTGCTTTTATCAGATCTCTTATGTGTGTAATCTCTCAGGCATTACAATAGGCATCAGGGCGACAGGAGTTCAGCAGTCTCAGAGACCAGTGGTTCCCATCTACAGGGCTATCTCCAGTAGCCCTTCATCGACACCATTCATTTCAAATTATTTTGAGCTGTATGTTATTAAACACTACCAGCTTTACTGTCAATTTTTATATTGGTTTAGTTTGCATTTGTTGCTGGACGCATTAGGCATTTATCCATTAGTTTCAGCCATCTATTGCAATTAAATCCATTACTTTTCAACCACTCATTCATTACTTTTATTAACTATACCAACTGCTACTTTATCCATTACTTCTAGCCATTCGTTTCAAAGATTTATCCATTACATTTAGTTAACATTAGCTAACATTAGGAATCACTATCCTGCACATCGACAATAGCAGGCCTGAACCATATCACACAAAGGATGTAGCCCAGTGGACACATTTTTATCAGCTCAAACTGGAGAAATGTAATTGAACTCTGTATATGTGCACTGATTTACAGGAGTTTATGTGTCTATATGTTTCCAGAGCCACGTTTCCACCAAAATATATTGCAAATCTTAACCGAATTTCAAGTAAATCAGCAAATACAAATGAATCCGTCCGCTACCACTATGCAGTTATTAGGTGTTCGTTTATCAAGATAAGCAAGAGCTTAATTTCCAGTCTGAAAAACAGAAGAGGGCACAACAAATGACGTGTTGATGTGTAATGTGAGGAAGGCGGTTACATCAGTCCCATATATCCTATAAAGCGCATTAACTATTTTTCAAAATCTGCATAAAAATAATGGGAATACAGCTTTATGTGCCTTTGCTGTTCTTTTTGTTCTTTTTTTTTTTGTTGCCACAGTTATACCGTAGCTCAGTTCACGGTGCTTATTGTGATGTAAAATTTTAAATCCAGTCATTGCAAATTGAATTATTCAGCGATTTGTTGTTATTCTGGCAGAGTCTTTTGGTTAATTTGTTTATCACAGGGACCGGTCTCCTAGCACTCCCCCCACAGCTCTCTCACCCAGGCCAAAAAGGCTTAATTTTGGCAAAGCCTGAAAGCTGGCTGATGCTTCGCTTCGTGGAGCCCCTCCTCTTACTCCCTTCTTCTCCCGTCCAAGCAGCCAGGAACGCTAGAGGTGGCTGCTTAGATGACATAAGACCATTTTTATAATGTAGCTAAGACACTTCTGATACCTCCCGCCATGCTGTAAGCAATTAGCAATTTAGATCCCTTTCTATAGTGTAGAAGACACTATTATTCTCTCCTCTGCCTTCAAGTAACTTTTGTCATGTTTTTTTTCCCATTGCTCTTCCTCCCAGAGAGGTCAGAGCCAGAACAGCACCACAAGGATTCAGTGTCTTCGTGTCCTAAACCTGGGCGTTCCAGATAAACAACTGGCTCCTTTCTCCATAAGTCACACTTTTGACTGTTTTGTAACTAAAGTTCCCAAGCTGTCGGCTCCAGAAGCCCTGTATGCAATCTATCCTCAGCTGTAGGGATATCCTGGACAAGAGATAGAAGGTCGGAGGGGAAGGAAAAGCTGCAGCAGTGGAACGGCCAGGCCAATGGAACAGGATAGCATGTTAGCGAGGGGGCACTCACCTTTCTTGTGACTGCTGGGTCTAGATAACTCCTCAGCTTTTGGAGATACGTGTGAGGCGGGTTTTTCACTTGGAATCGCTCCTGTCAAAAAAAAGGAGAAAACAAAAGACTGAGATGAGCAAAAGGAAAGGCAAACGACATGAGAGGAATAAAAGAGAATGAGAGGACATAAAGACACATAGGGAGGAAACTTTTGCAGTATCAAGGACAGAAGTTGCATGTACAGTAATATTATGAATTTAGAAAAAGCACACACAAGTCTGAACACATCGCCATTATACAGTTAACTGTTATTGAGACTAAAGGCATCAGATTAAACCTGAACAGGCTTTGAGTAAATTACAGTCATTATGAGTCACCCTTTAACTGATGGGAACCCAGATTATGTTCTACTTTAAGAGGCAGCAAGAAAATAACAATTATTCCTCTATTCCCGCTATAGTGGACATGACAAGCCTGTGTCACATGTGCTCCGTTTGCACGGACCTAGGGTGGAATGAACCAACACTCAATGCACCAGTTTTTCTTGGAGGTTTTCTTGTAGATCAGACTGGAGATCAGCATTTACTCTGCTTATCAGAAAACTGACTGGGCCCATTCAAAGATTATTGTGTTGCACTTTAAGAATGGCTCATGTGTGGATGTTTTATATTTCTTCTATTAGCAGAACATTCAAAGCTGAACAGTGATTCCTGCATCAGTAGTTGTGTCTATCACCTGAGAACAGGGAAGTGAACTCTTTAGATACCTGGTCACAGTCTGATAACACTGAGCAAGGAGACAGTGACTGTTACGCGTATTCAGCCTGCAGAAGGCCATAAACAATCTTGCTGTTAATGATTGTGATTATTTTTAATGCCCTATAAAGTATAACATGCCTGGGGACTGCGGCCAAGCAGGTGTGGATGTCTTAAGTTCAGCCAGGAACAGGTTTTAGGTCAAATCCTTTACTGTTGTGCTCTAAATATAAATACAAGAGATTAGTGCTGGATTTGGTTCAGTGTGTTGAACGGGAAACAGTACTTGGATCAGGCCGAGCACCACACCACAGCAGCGTGAATGGTTCTGTTTAGTGATTTTCCACATTACATTGTATCAGAGAGACTGCAGAGCATGTAATTCAGTAGATTTATTCTTCATATGATGTGGGCAAAAACAGCCAAGACATATCCTCACTTATGTAACTAGCTGGGACAACTGAATGACTGGCCTTCAGGGAAAAGTCCACTTTAAGACTTTTTCTCTGTCGGGTATCATCAATCTTTGATTTTCAATGCATACCACAGTATGCAAGGACCTCAGATATGAATCTATCAAAATCTGTCTCTGTGTGTTTGCTTCTCATGTGAAACATTTTGTCTTCAAGACAGTAAGTACAGTTAACCCTGCTTGGCAGCTGGACACGCAAGATTATGCCAGAATCCATCTTGCCACGCTTCAAGCTATGTGCCATTGTCTAAACCACAGTGGTACAGGACCAATCAGCGTCCTATGAGGAACTACTGTCAGCTACAGCATGACATAACTCTAGGTGTGTGTGTGTGTGTGTGTGTGTGTGTGTGTGTGTGTGTGTGTGTGTGTGTGTGATGGCGTGTGTGAGAAGTGACTGTAATATAGATGTTGCGAGCATGAGTAATATCAGAACTGGAGAGATTTTTTCATTGTAAGAAGAGAAAACAATTGCACTGAAGGCTTTTTTTCCAACGGAAAAGTTGTTTTTGTTCTTCTCCTGACAGATCTCTAACAGTTTGACTACGTTATATAGTTCATTGATCTGACTGGTTGAAGTTCCATCTTGGCTGATATCAAAAATATATATACTTTCTTATGACGTAAAACATTACCCACCAGAGAAAAAAAAACATACATTTAATGACTGTTTAGGTTGTCATCCAATAACTAAATTGTTAATGAGACAAGATGCATCGGGATCTGAGTGGTTTACCACCTGGCTAAACAAATTCCAGGGGAATATTCTCAACATTGTTCCACGATGGAAATTTAGTGTTTGCTGCATTTGTCTTCTTATTTCCCCATTCTGGAAAGTCATATTCTCATCTACTGTAATTCATTGTGCCTGTTCACTTCACTGCCTACCTGGGGACATTGGAGACAAACACCTGTGTGAAACATGACGCGTCCCCGGCTGCTTCTTTTCACCGGCAAGTGAAAACCTTCACCAAAAAGAGCTTCATAAAAAAGGTAGCATTTGCGACAAGGCTGTTGTATTGGATCACAATGTTGTGATGTGTTCACATCATTGTGCCACCCTCTGTATACACATACTGAGATCAGATTGCCTTTCTGGGCAGTGCTGTGTTATCAGCAACATCGCATTTATCATTGGCAGAGCATGTCTGTCCTACAAAAACAGGAAAGACGAGAATGGCGTCAGGAAAGAGAGCTGACAAGTACTGTATATACCCTGTTGCATGGAAAGAAATGTGAGAAATGGAGGGCAATAAATACATGAAGCAAGAGACTATAATATAGAGAATGCACGTCTGTTTTTTAGGAGCACATACGAACGGGTTCAAACATGCTCTATGCAGTTCTAGAGTTTGTCTCTGGGAGCTGGTTTGGATTATATTTCAAAGGTGAGGTACACTTTCCCCCTCTGCACCTGAGGAGTTGAGCAGAGACTCAAGAAGGGGAAATCACTTAATATGAAAGTGGGCATGTAGTTGTTGCAATTTGCTGTCTATAGTCCTATCTATAACAACTTCTATAGAAAATGCTTTATTGTTTGGAAAATGCCACAGGATTGCAACATATCCTGAGAACTCTCAAGATGTGACAGTGATGAGTTCATCATATGTTTTAACCCTGTGTTCACATCAAGAGCATCCTCCATATTTCATAAATCCTCCTAATTGCCCAAAAAATGTTTAATATTTCAACCTCTGGTGGCGTTTGCAGGGCCTGTTTTTCAAAGGGGATGTACCTGTCATCTCTGCTTCCCTGCCTCCCTCCATTACTGTTTCCATGGTTACATAAAGAGATTCACTGTAGCTATGACACAGAAAATACTTTACTCTCAGAGCCGTCTGTGCTGTCATGGGTATAGGCTTGTTGGGAAAACAAGACTATATAAAAAAGACATTGGAGGACTAGTTTAGCACTATTCTTTGACGTCTGACTGTTACAGTGATGGGAAATAGGGATCGTCTTACAACATAAACATCAACTTTTTGGCACTTTATTGACAAGCAAAGGTTTTACAATGCTGTCCACCCACAGTGGATACCAGTCATTTTAAACATGGATAACACTGATTCACATAGACAGAATGCACATTGTTTCATTAAGTAAGAAAGTATGTAGAAACCAAGATGCTTGTCTTTAAAAACACAGAGCAATGTTTTTGGAAACTGCTTCACTGAATATAAAAGGGAAACCAAGTATTTTCACTTCAGGCCTGACAGAGGAACACGGAGTCCACTCCAAACTGAAAGAGGATCTCTGACTCTGGTAAGCGGCCTGGTGAGCTCTCTCTGGCACCGTTCCCTTCAGGGTCAGTGGCTATCAATACAGTTTGAGTGGGTGGTGGTCTTGATCTTGTCTCCGTTTTTTCTCCTCTGCTCAGGGAGGCAGAAAAACTCTCTGGCACGGAGGTTGAAGGCTGAGTGGAGCGCTCAGACCACAGCTGACTGCACAACGTGCACCCTCTGTTATTTCCTACATGCAGCATTGATGCCAATAACAGCCTGAGTTTTTTAACTGGCTAACTGATGTGTGCTCCCTGCTGCGCCACTTGACCCACTTGACCAGGGAAGCCAGGGCAGCGTGTATGAACTGGGAAAGGCTTACAGGATAAAGGCAGGGCAATGAAGCATGGCTGCTGTATGTGGGACGGACCTTGGTTTACTTTGTTAAACTGTAAAGGAGGCTGATTGACAAATGAAAAAACTAATCACTTTACAGCCAACTTTGTACTTAAGCTTAATTAATTACAATATTTCATTCTTGTGAGTCTGGCAATTATGCATCCACATTAAGTGTGACTTGTACAGCACTATGTCACCCTATCATACAGATAAGTGACTGTTGCCCACCTGATCACAGATGAGTTCCCACTTCTTCTCGTTGTCATACTGCCGCAACAGTCGTGCTTTGTCTGGAGGAAGATTCATCGAGTTCTGTAAGAGAGAAAAAGGTCAGAGTTAATTGGATGTGGACAATGAAACATCATCAGTCACATGAGATCACAGATACACAGGAGGGAAAGGTATGTAAGGTACGCATGTCCTTTTGGGTAATTTCAATAGCATTATACCCAATTTACATAATACGAGGCTATCTACAGCATTCAAAAGGCCATATTTTATAGATTGAGAACGAGACACCGTCAGTTGGACCCACAGCAGTAAGGTAATCATGAAACAAGACTCTCCTTTTTTAAACCCCAACTCCTCCTGATTAAAAGATTTTCCCTAAATATTTTCCATTTCCTACAGCACAGTTACCAAATATTTGGCCGACAGAAAAGCCACTAATGAGAAAATCCTACAATATCCACCATGTGAAGTGCTGCAGAGGAGTCTTACAATACATATATATATATGTATATATATATATATATATATATATATACACACACTGGGAAAACGGGGGTCTCATCTTAATGAGACCGAGCTTGACCCCATCACTCATTCCAGTCAATTGACTAGACATGCAAAGACACTGTACTGAAGTGAATTAGGGTGTGTAAGCATGTAAGTGAAAGTGAAAACCCTTGGTTTTGATGTTCAGAGTGATTTCCAGAGAAGTGTGTGTTGTTCAGGACAAATCTAATCTGACCCATGTGTTGGTTGACATTATGTCTGAGAATAAGCCCAAATCATCCAAAAACTGTTACACAACTCCTTTCTTTATCCGGCTTTCTCTACTTTCCTTCCTGCACGAACACCTCTGCAGTTGTCTAAAACTTGGCTGGATTTAACACAAGCGTGATTCACCCCACCCCCATGTAAATTAGAAAAGCTTGAAACAATTAACCAGCACTTAATCGTACCACCTACAGTATGGAGAGCACACAACATGCAAATATGTCAGCAGAAAAATTTAAATAAAACATGTGACCCAGCTGGAGACTGGTTAGGCACTCACAGCGAACACTTGTTACAGACAAACGGTGTAGGTGTGTGCTCCTCTTACAACAGCCTTTGCAAGCAAAAAGCTGTCAAGTCAAGGCAACAAACTTCAAAAGTGTTTCGTATGTACTTGTAGTGAGAATGTTTTCCATTGCTAAAGGACAGACGCAGGGGAACATGTGGCCATCATGCACGGCTCGGCTTGGGGTTTTTTCTTCCCCTCCTCATTCGATGAGCTGGATCATCTATCAGTGTGTGTTCGGCACTCTGCCTCCACTTTTCCTCACAGGGGGAGCGAGAGGAAGATAGATGAGGAATGTCCTGGGATCCAGCCTGTTTCCATGAGCGAGTAATACCAGGATAGAGTCAGACACTGATCGAGAAGCCTGATCCCCAACTTGCTTTGGAGTTTACGAAGTATTTAATCTTTTATACTGTATAATACTGATTGGTTTGGCAAGTGATCTATACAACCATTCATTTAATTTTAAAAGAGTGCATTTATAAAAGAAAATCAATGTAAATAGAGCTGCTCGTGAGACGCATGAATAGAGCTCATACACAGCTTTGTAGCTTGCTAATAGCTAATGAGAGGAAGACTGAGTATACTCTAAACTGATTTCTATAAATGAGTTCACTGAACCTATAAGGTTCACAGACAGCACGAGAGAAGCTTAAAGGATAAAAAGTTAACCTGTCTCTTGACTTCTATGCAAACTAATAATTTCATTATGTTCATGATATTCTGTCCCTCCCACAGTTAAATCTGTTTACTTTTCTAAATCGAAACTGATGATTCAATCGATTTCCACCACAGATGTGCCAGTAAACTTGCTAAATGAATTGAAATTCTAGTATAAGAATACAATTTGCTCTCACTGTTTATTGATGTCTTTGGGTGCATCAAAATCAATCTGAAGCACAATAGTTTTATTGGTTACAAGCACAGGTTGTAGCCCGTCCAGCCTCCTCTAGAGCGACCAGGAAATTGCATTAGTATTCAGCAGATGCTACGAGCCGGCTGATCGCTGCTGTGCTGACTGCGGGGAATTGGGAGTCAGAGAGGCTCTATTGACTCAGTCTGGCTGCTAACCAGAGTTAGTACTGACTTTCCTTCCCTAAACACATTAAAATACAATTTGACACCTGAGTAGATGTACACATTAAATGACAGAAAGCCACTAGCACTCTCACTACATCACACACAAAAGTAAAAAAACAGGTTCAATTTGAGTAAATCATTAAGTTACTTCTAGACTTGAGCCTTGTTATGTTTGGATACTGAAGAAGTTTTGGCCTGGAAACAAATGGGTTTGTGGTAATGATGTAGGTGCCTGATGTAGGTGCTGTGCCCCTGCAGACTGGCTGGGTGGTTTGCTGAGTCGCTGTGGGTGCACTGAGCTGTGGGCTTCCTGCTTGGTGAGGCTCCAACTAAAGCAAAGAACCACTTCTACCAGCCTTCATTTCATCCCAATACTAATGAGCTGTGACAGGCACTCAGCTCGCTGGGCTCAGGTTACCCTACATGCGCACTATTTTTGTGTGTGTGTGTGTGTGTGTGTGCATCTGTGGTATTAATGGGGTGATGTTGAGGAGGGTGTGGCAGCTTTTTCGCCAGCAACTGATGGCAGGCCACCCTGACGAATACACACACCCAAATATCACTCAAGATATTTCACAGTGATTAAAGTATTACTAAACTGTATGAAGAGGATTATGACAGGTTTGACCCATTCGACAGACACAGACAAATTAGGCAATGTCTAATATGATCCCATGATTCAACCACAGATCACAGACTGATACAAGCCATAATACAGCATCCGATATAAACTGGAGACCAAAGTAATTTTAAACACATGTATAGCTACAGTGCAACCTGCTCTTAAGACAAGCAACAGATCACATGATAACAGCAGCCGCAACCTGCCATCATCATAGCAGACTGTATTCCCTAAAAGCAAAACAGCAAAGTGTGTAACTTCAGTTTTTCAAGGAAAGGAATCCGTGTTAGACGCTTCAATAACTCAAATCTGATCAAACTTGCACAAGTGTCAGGCAAAAAGGATAATGATGAAGCTGAACATGCAACAACCATCAAGTAGAGAAGCGTGCGAAGCCGCTACAAACATTGTTGGAAACAATGACAAAGCATGAGAAACTCCTTCCAGACAGCACAAAAATGAAGATGACAAGGGGGAGAAACCCTGGAATTTACTGTGCTGGATGACCAACCCCGTTCTCTGTGAAATGTGGAACGCTTCAACATCTCTAGCCTCACTTCGCCAAACTGACATTTCATCTCCGGAGCAGCTGTCTCACATCTGTACTGTTAGAGAGTGAATTCCTTTAGAAACATTTGGAAAAAGCTGTGAGTTTTAGCTCAAACACAGATCATGTCATTATACAAAGCCAGCACTCTGGATAGGGCTCTACAACACAACCTACAACCTATATTATGATACATTTTCACATTTATTAATGATAATGTTAACACTAACTCACTAACTACTTGTTTGTTTCGTTATTAGTATATTATATTTCCTTCCTTGAGTTTGCCCTAAATAATTATATTAACGCCAGTCAAAGACTTTTAGATTTTAGATACATGCATTTAATTATACTGTTTTCAAAAATGTATTAATTGAAACGTGTACATGAGCGAATTTAGGCCAGTACGTTTTTTGGAATATCTGTTATTCAATAAATTTGATTTTATTGTATCTAACACTGAATAGACTAGTTTTGCAATGTAAAAACCACTTCAGGCTACAGTTTTGTGGCTCAAACACTAGAGGCAGAAAAGACTACAGTGCGTGTCATTTTACAACACAATGCAAAACCAATATTCATAGGTAGCCATATTTTACAAGGTCCAGTGTGTAGGATTCAGTGGCACCTAGAGGTGAAGTTGCAGATTACAACTATTTGAATACAGCTCAGCCTCCCAAGCGTGCATTCCACTAGATGCCACTGAATCATACACACTGGTCCTTTAAAACCAATACACTAACCAAAAAGTGCTGAAAATCTTCAGACCTTGTTGTACTGACCAATGTTTATCAAGCAACAGCACACTAGGTTTTTAATGGGACGTAGCAGCAACAGATATTTTAGTGCAGCTCCAACAGGAGAGCATATCAGAAGACAGTGAGTCTACAGTATCAGTAAAAAAACAGTAAAAAGTGAAACTAGGAACAAAACCCAAAACACATTACTCAGGAAGTGTGAACATCCAGGTTGACCCAAATGGTTTATTGCAATCACACAACCTGGACAAAATCTTGTCAACCTGCTTGGGAACCGGTTGACAAGCCTTGTGGCCATACCTCAACACACTGTGGAACAGCTACTACACCAGTCAATGTGTAACTATGAGAATCAGTAGCTCAGTTTTAACAGTGACTACTGATATGAATCTACTGTTAAGGTCTTATTCACATGAGGTCTTAAGGCTCAGAAACTGGACAGAAGTTATTAGTGTCCATGTATCCTCTCATTAGGCAGCTTGAGTCATAAAACGAGTAAAAATAGGCAGCTGGCCCACCAACCAACCCACTACCTTCCAGGAGGTCTGTGGAGGCACGGCCCTCACAGCACAGCTGGCTACAAAAGACAACACACAGCCCACGTGAAGGGCCTGCTTTAGTTGCTGTTGCTGTGAAAAGATGTAAACCAAATTGCCAAAACGGACTCTGCTCTTGTACATCATTCGAAAGTCATACTGAACATGTTAAAAATATGCAAAGTACTTCACAGGAATGAATCTGTGGTGAAATAGACAGCGTTCACTCTTCCGCAGTTCTCTAGAAAAAAAAAACTACAATACACAGTAAGTTAACTTCCATATCTTGAGTTTCACATCATCGTTCGACTCTTGTGGAAAGCTGTCTGTAAGTGCTCTTGAACACATAAGCAATTCTGACTCAAGTGCACTTAGCAAAAGAGCTAAATAAAACTGGAAAAGTTCAGTGGGTGGAGGCAAGGTTGCTGTAAATTAAATGTGTTTCTGGACAACACATTGAACACATGAAGCCAAGTCAAAA